TAGTATATTTTATTTACAGGGAGTTCAAAATTAGACTGACGGTTTTTAAAACTTTATTCTAGAAAAGGATTAAAAACTTTACAAACAAATATATGGGACAAGACATGAAGTTTCCTCTCAATCTATTTTAGTTCGAAAAGTTTTCAACAGATGGCTCTGCATCTAGTAAACCTGTAAATCAAAGAAACACAAATGAAAATCTTCAATTTTTCGAATTCTTCCAATATATAAAAAACTTATCACGATATTTTTGAAATGTCCACTATCTGCGTCAGCCATAATCCTATTCCGTAATCGGAGTGTCAAGTTTTTTACAACAAAACACAACGAAGGAAATGATATAAGGAACTTAAAGCGCCATCTGTTAGAAAATTTTAACTGAATTAAGGAACACTGAGGGAAAAAATTATGATTTTGTCATACGAGTCTTATAACAAAGTTGTTTTTTAATCTTAACTGTTATTAATAGCCGCCAATATAACTTAAGACACCTCATGAAAAAAAAACTACATTATACTAACATAATTATAAAATATTATAACTGCAAGAGCTTTATTTTATTTATATTTTAGCACATTAAATAATATATAACACACATATGAAAGAGTTCATTCTTTGGCTAGTCGACATAAGTTTCTATGATGCGTTTTGCCAAAAATGTCGTCAAACATAAAATATTATTAACACCATACTAGCGAAATTTAGCACTGAATTTTTATATCAACTCAACCGTTCATTGATCAAAAGACTGTTGAAGTTTAGCAAGTAAGTCTTGATGATACCTAAGAATAAAAGCTTTTAATCTAGATATTTATATAGATTTTTGGTCCTTAAGCAGCACATTAAATGTATAATTAAATTTGTATAAGTCACAAATCCCGTCCTTCAAGCAGTTAATTCGAAACATATATAAAGTTGCTATATTCAATCTCAATCTATTTTCAATCTCAATCTATTTTCAATCTCAATCTATTTTCAATCTCAATCTCAAAGCTCCATAATCTCAAGGCACAGTAGTGATCATTCCTGAAATACTCTTTCCTTCTGCTTAGGAACTGAGTTATTTATTCCAAATGAGTTTTAATATCTGTTACAAAGAAATCAACTCACTAAAAATGATTGCACTACCATATAAAAAATTATAAAACAAAGCTTTTAGAATGACCAGTTGCGCAAACAGCGGGCTGCTCTGTAAAAACAAAAGAAACAGACGCCTGTACAGCAAAAATTTCAACTAAAATAGTCTGAAGGCAGCAGAGAGAAATCTTTATATTTTCTAGTCAGTCGCGACATCTGTTGATGAACTTTTAAAGTACTTTTTAAAATGTACTTTCAAAATCAGCTCATTAAAGCAGGTTCATCAGGTTGTACATTTCTATCTTCTTACTTTTTTCTTAAACAGATTTTTAAAATCATCTGTTATTTTAAGAACAACCAATACCTTTAAGAATATCTAACTTGAACCTTGTCTGGTAGACATGAATTTTATAAAATAGAGGCACCCTAGTGATCTTTCATCAGTTTTTATTTTGTTTTATGAATAACAGACTTAATTTAAAAAAACATGAGTTGATTCCATGCTTGACGCTATCTAGTCGATTCCATTTCTTATTTATTATTCAATCCATTCGAAAATTATCTGTAAACGTAGTGGTTTATCATTCTTCCCCTTCCCTGAAACGAAAATTTTTTTTCTACGTCTAAAACCGTTGTATCTATAGACAGGGAGCCACAAAATCTATTTTATTTCCTAAAATATTCCGAAATGGCATCGATTGTATATACCTTTTATGTGTTATGCAAATTTAAATTTTCCGAATTGCTACTAGCCTATATTGCGATCACTTAAAAAACAAAACTAAAAGATAAGGCATTTTATAGCATTTTCAAACATCATCTGTAGCTGAAAGTATTTTTATGGCTTGTCTGAGGATGCGAATCTGTTGTTATTTTAGAGAAATTGAAAACAAAACGAGAAAAAATTGTTTCCTACAATATGTTGAAGATTATGCAGATAAATATTTTTCTTTTCTTTTTTTTTCCCTCTTCTCAATTCCCTTTAAGCTTAATATATTTTTTAATTTTGTGCTGTACTTACTTGTTTTGAAGTTTATTTCAGTTTATATTCAATTTAAATACTTTTATTTTAATTTTCTTTTCATGCATTTAAAAAAAAACTTACAACTTCAAGCAAGGTACTATTATAAAAGTCTATCTCGTAAAAAATAATAATTATAAAAATTATATATTTTTTGTCCCGTAGTGGACTGATCGTTAAGACACGGTTCCCAGCAGATCACCGAAGTCAAGCATCAATGGCTGCGGTCAGTGTGCGGGTGGGTGACCACTTAGATCAGCCTGCGTAGGAACCGAGGGTGTGCGGTTTTGGTCCTCGTTAAACTGTTCTACAGTAAAGTGCTCGACTTCGCGTGCAGGTCGTCGGGCTACCGAAGCGGGGGTGCCATCCCCTCCGCAGAGGATCAAAATTGTGATGGCATGTCTTCGGATCATCCTCAGGGATGTTTCCCAGACCGTCGCCAATAGCCCATTGTGCAGCTCTAGTGCGACGTAAATGAACAACAACTATATATTTCCTTCTTTTGAAGCAAACAGAAACTATATTTTCATCTGTAACTTTAACAAATTTCTCGTAGTTTTGGATAAATCAAAAAACAAAAACAAAAAAACAAAAAGAAGTTCTTTGTAATATGACGCTTATAAAAATGGCGGCCTATCTGACAAATGTTTTTGTCATTCAAACCTCTTGGAACTTTTTTTTTTTTAGTTTCTATTATGAATTAATTTAGTAGTAATCTAATAGCATGCTGTGCTCAGAATGTTTGGAAGTTTATTTCATTCTTTACCTTTTAAGAAACTGTTTCAGAGATGTCTAAATAAGATTAGAAGCTGGCATCTAACGTCATTTATCTGTCCACTAGCAATCTGTCTATGATTAATGAGTTACAGATGTCAAGCAATAGAAATAACTTAACGTTTTGATTGTGGTGTGAATATGAATAACTTAACAGAAATTGTGCAAATGACAATTGATTGATTTATTCTGCTCAGTGATCTAGTTCAGCTTCTGGCTTGGACATCTATTCATTAGATAGCTGTGCCTTCTGCTCGCTGCAACAACTGCTATGTAATTATGTTTTTGTTTTGCTTCGCAGCAAAATATAATACACCAAGCACTCAAAACAAAATTCATTACGCTGCATTCACTTGCATTGGTTTTAATTATATTGTGAAAACATTAAAATGAGCTGATTAAAAATTTTGTCAAGCCCTTAAACTCAAACAAAGAACTTTCATTTTAATAAAAAGCAAGCATTAGTATGGATGGGTGGTCTAATGTAAACAATAACAAGCGTCCTTAAAGCGGAAGAAATTTAGAAAATTTCCGGTGTATCCCTCCGCTTATGTTATGACTACGAGGTGATGTGTGAACAAGCCTAATATTCTATGCAGTTTTGTTATTGTAATTTGGGTTCAAATCTAAACATAATTGTACCATTCATAAGAGCTTTCAGAAATGTATTGATTCTCAGAGGTCGTAAGGCCAAAAAAAATTTTGGAAAGTTAATATCTCATTGTGAATAATTCCTAAGATTTGCCATGTTTTGTATTCCATCCCTTATTTGGCTACATTTGAATAAAATGTCGCCAAAAATAGCTTAAAAATATCTTTTTAAGTTAGCCCAATTAGAAAATATTCTAATGATTATAATATTAATATGATAATGCTGAAGTTTAAAGGCTGAAAGAAAGAACTCGGTACATGTGAAATACTGCAAAAAATATGATGCAATAATATGATGGCGCGCTTTTTCAATCTGTGGGGTAAAAATATATCGGAAGCAGTAACCCCGAAGTCTTGAAAGAGTAATTTTACCACTAGCGCCACCACCCTTAGCTTTACACGATCACCCATCCATATAGAACACTAATAATAACACATTTTACCTAGTGCTATCATTTAAGTTAAGATCAAAATTTACACTGGAGCACTAAATGGGGATTATCCTCTGTTTTCATTGTAAACTGTGCAGAAACATTGACACTTTTGATACTTATAGCAACACAAAAACAAATCAAATCAGAAAAAAATACGGTTTATAAAACCCTTAATCTGTTTAATTTTAATTAACAAGGACAAATTTTTTTTCAAATATATCATGAAAAAACGTCGGTCTGTTTTATGAATCTTTCTTCATTTTTTTTATTTTGTTGAGTATTTTATTAACTTAACACAAGGTGGTAGTAATCAAATTAAAAATGAAGCCAAATAATTTTGTTATCAATTTATTTTGAAACGGAGCTACAATATGTAGGCTTATATTTTACTCGCCTGTGTTTATTTCACACTAAAAATATATATTGATGTGCTAAGAACTTATTTAGGGAACTCTTCCGCTGAACCTTCCAGGCATCTGCGGACTTGTCGGAATAGAAGGAGCGGGTTGGAATGAAGTTCTCCTGCTTTTGGTGCCAAATCACCTTGGCGTCAATAAAGTTTCATGGTCTTCTCTTTTTTTCGAGCTCGTGTTTTTTTCTCCCAACTTTCTAACGATTCTAATTACGGCTACTTTTACATATTTGTTTCACCTATTCATTCGCCAGAAGAAATGCACTCATTATTCGCACACTGTAACGTTCCTCATCTATGAAAAAGTGAACCCTTCCGCTGAAATTTCCAACGGGATGGAATGAAGCTTGGCCAAACAACCTTGGCTCTTTGTTTGCAAGGAATGAAGTTGCTTGTTTTTTGTGCCAAGGATGCTTCACCTTAAACTCATTTTAAGGACCATTCTCACTGCCTGTAAGCTACATTAGAGGAAAATATTTACCCTGGATTCAGGCTCTCGCTCATGAGGGAGGAAAGTCGCAAACAGTGAGAATGGGCCTTTAGATATAACGCATATGAATAATCCGCTCACGCGGAAAATATTTCCGCAGTAGTAAAAAGGAAATGAACTGAAGAAAAATACAATTTCTGAAGTCTATTTTCTATTAAACGTTTTATTTCATTTGTATTGAAAAAACTCAACTAGTTTGACTTTCTAAACATAGATACGAGAAAAGTATAACTTTTTGAACGAAACCTGAAGCAAGCGTGTCAATCTAACAAATCGTTTCAACGGTATAAAAATCAACCCTGCCTAAAGTGTTTGTCATCTGCTTTGATTTTCGGTCAATTTTCGGTGTAGAATTTATATCAAGACTTGTCATGTTAATTCGATAAATGAAATTTTTTACAATGGTTAGTAATGTCTTATACTTGATTGTGGTATCTACGATTTCTGTTCTTTTAATCATACTCAGTATATTTGTATCTTACTGTCACTTGATTTTTCACACCCTAAGCTGTTCCTTACAATAATTCTAATTACAACTTCATAGCAAAAAGAAAGTAATTGGTACACACTCTAGTTTTTAGCTTTTAATTATGTATCATTACATTAGCTAATGTCAAGTTAATTATCAAATTGCTGTTTTTGTCCAAATGCTGCTACTTTTACTGAGATAATACCTGAGCCATTTCTGAATCTGGAAAGATTTTCATTTTGGTATCTGTGCAAAGATAAACTCTTAATTTTGGCTACAATCAGGCAGATGCATGCGAGAAACTAAACAAAAAATGTCAAAGTATGAGGTATACTTAAAATGTGACACTCTTAGCCACCCTTTAATTTACTGTATGTATTAATTTTAAAATTATTCTTAGTATAGCTATCAGACATTTTCATTTTGTGATTTAGAAATTTCGGTTGGCGTGTACAGGTATCAGTATATAACAATCCCCTAGGAATATATTGTGTATTATTCTATATTAGTCATTAACTGGGTTTGGCTGGGAGTAGCTACAAGTTGGTCCCTTTCTGTAATGCGTTTTTTTAGTTTCCCGATGGCTGCTGCCCAGAAGATATGGCTCCAAAACAGTTGTCTTTCCTGCATTCTCAAAATGTCAAGGCAGATTTTTACAATACATAGAACATTTCGTGTAGATTAATTATTAAGCAACTTATGACCAAAAATGTGTAGGTGTTGCCCTGCATTCCACTATTTTACATTGATAAATCATAGTTACCAATCTTGTCAGCAAAAGCACAATTTATTTTGATAATATATTTAAAATTTACTGCACACTGACAACACTTAACAATTATAGTTAACTCTTTATGTATCAGATTCTTAAAAAAAATGCTCATCTTTTTAAGTTCGTCACTTTAAACACTAATTAATACAAAAAAATTACATATAATTAAAAATTTATTGAAAAAAAAAATAGTTGCATTTCGCTAACAATGTTAAAAATGGCCCAACAGTGATAGTTTCATTTATGCTCTTTGAAAAATGACATAAAGATTAAAAAATTTCAGTTTTAATAATAATCCTGAAACAAAAATGTGCTATTTTGTTAGCAACAAATTGAACTTCAATTCTAAAAATCGAGTAATGCTACAGGATTGCAGAAATTGTCCTTCAAAAGTGTTAGGAAAATTCTATATGTTTTTCTTTGTCTCTATTGCAAATATGTAATACAGTGACATAAGGGGTAAATTGTTGATTTTTTAATAATAAAAAAAAATGCTTAAACTGGTTATAATATTTTATTTATAATTTACAGGAAAATATATATTTGAATTATAATTTAAGGAAATTTATCTTGGAAGTGTGTACTCACATGCAATAGATATCTGTCATATTTGTTGCTTTAGAAGTAAAAATTAATATTTCAAAACTATAATATATTTGTATAATAATCGGTTAGGTAATGACCAAATTAGTTATAACACCTTTCTTGGAAGATGGCTATGGTTGAGGCTCAAAGAGCTTAAAATAGTTTTAAAAAAATTAAACTCTATAAAAAAGTTTGTTTTTCATTTCCCCCCCCCCCCTATTTTTTAAGCTGAAGGTAGAGATAACCTCGACCTCTCCCCCCATCCTAAACAATACTTTTGTTGGATCTAGGACTTGAAAGTCACAAGGAAATGGTGACAAGTATAACATAAAATTTAGTTTTTGACCAACTTTTTTATTGTTTTTTAGATGTTGAATTTAAATAATGTCATTCATTTTAAGGCGGCTCATATGCAAAGCTTAAAGTAATGGTGGTCGATGTGTCGAGAATTTCTAAAATTGGACTTAAATTAAATAAATAAACAGTGGTTTAACAAAATGTTTTATTTGATATAAAAAAAATTTAATGTTTTGTATAACCTCAAATTTAAGAACTTTTTTTTCTAATTTTGCTCAGACACTTTGTAAAGAAAGCATTATAGGCGTGGAAACTAAAAAGTCACTGACAATTTTGGTAACCACAGATTTAAGACATTTTTTTTTTTTCTTATTTTGCTAAGACACTTTGTAAATGAAGCATTGTAGGGGTTAGAATTAAGATGTCACTGACCAGTGACTAAAATATTTTGCCTGTCCATATGCATTTCCATTGGCATGTTTATGTGTCACTTTTTTTTATGGAAAAAAAGAATGCAAAATATGTTAATTGCTCAAGATTATGAGGAAATATGTTATTCTGCAACAAAAACATGAAGCCTAAAATCAAATAACTAAAATAGCCTTTATAATCCCTTTACTGAACTAGGAGTTACTGGTACTGACTTCTGAAAATTATTTTATGGATGTCCCTTTCAAATTGTAGTCATTTTTAATCCTGTATTGCATGAGTATACTTCGTTTTAATTTCTTATCTTTTTTAAAAAAATAACTCTGATGTTCTTAAGCAAAGAATTATGTAGTCTTTTTGTTTTTATTAATTCCTTGTATCTTAATTTTTCAGTCTTCTGAAGAGCTTTTAACGTCACTAGAAGTCCTTATTCATGAATTTTATAACATTTCTACAACAAATGAAAGGAAAAGACAAATAGGTACTATTCTAACATTTAAAAATGTATTATTGCAAAATATTTATTATTTGTATTTAATAAATTAATATTAATCTATAAACTAATAATAGTAACAATTAATAAAGTTGTTGCTAATATAGTTTTCTTTTACTGAGTTACCATTTTGTCAAAAATAATTTTTCTTTATTGTCCATGCAAGAGAAAATTTATCAATAACATAATATGCTGTTATATTTTTATGTAAATCGAATTTTAATTAAAGATTTATCAGCAAACAATTACCCTTATAAAGTGTATCTCTTGAAAAGGGACATTTGTTAAAATGTGCTTTTTTTAAATTTATTTAAAAACATGTACAGTACAGAACCCGTTATCCGGAAATCAGAAAACCAAAAAACCGGAATGAAATTCAATAAATTCTCCGGTCATTTTTTTTTTTAATGTTTTTTTCCTCATAAGATTTTAAGATTTTTCTTTCTTTTTTAAAAGATGTTTACCTTACCATCATTTTGGAAATAATCATTAGTGTATTACTTCATCGTTTTTTCTTCTTTTTAAGATTATTTCCAATTTTTTTTTTTTTTAGTTGGGTTTAACAATAAAAACGGCTTTTTGTAGCAATTCAGAAAACCGGAAAAATCACTTATCCGGAATAGCGATGGTCCCGATCGTTCCGGATAATCAGTTCCCTACTGTAGTATAACATAATAGTAATTCTGTATTAAACTAAACTCACCGTTTGGGTCATTGTTTATCTGAACATGTTTTGCTTTAAAGATTTGCTTGTTTTAATGAAGTAATTTTTCATAACTATAAACTTACTGATTTCTTTGGTTTGCAGAAGAAATTTTAGAAAATTTTAAAAATCAACCAGAATGTTGGAAACACTGCTTAAGTTTCTTGTCTAATACTTCCAATGAATTTGTGATGATGTATTGTTTGACTGTTTTGGAGGTATGCAACAAAGCTTCATATAATATGAATTCAACTTACAAGTATTTTAATTATAATTTTTATCTATATGTTTCTTAATACAATAATTTTATATTTCAGTATGTTATAAATAAGTTGTGGATTAGGATGCCAGGACCAGATAAGGCAGAGTTAAGAACAAAACTCAATAGCTTTATGATTAACCATCACCTGAAAGTACCGAATTATATCACTAATAAATTAGGAAAATTGATTGTAGATATTGGTAGGCATGATTGGCCTCATTTCTATCCTGATTTTTATATGAATATTCATCAGGTAAGATTAAATCAACGTTATTTTATGCAATGTAATATTTTTAATGAAGAAAATTTTGATTGTTGTAGGTAATAAAATCAATATTGTTATTTGCCTCTTCAATATTTATTTTTACTTACAGCTTGCACAGTCAAGTGAAACTGCACCTCTAGGTTTAATGTTAATAATAACATCTTTTGAAGAATTTACAAGTCCTCGTGAAGATGTTGCTGTTACACGTAAAGCAGAATTACACAGATTGATGTTAGACCAAGTTCCTGTAGTATTAAATATTTTAGCAGGTTATTGCTTATCTTTAAATTTGTTTTTTTTTTTTTTTCCTTATTTTCTTGTGACTGAAACCAAACCTCTATATGATATATGTGTTTGATTTAATTATGTGTAATTGTTGTCTACACCATATTAAATCAGGGTGGCCACCCACCTGGAATTATCAGGGAATTTTTTTTATACTGGAAAAAACCTGGAAATATCAGGGAAATTTGGATAAAAACCTGGAAAAATCAGGGAATTTTAAAGAAAAGCTGGAAATTTTTTCTTTGATAATTTTTTTAATTTCACTAATTTAAATTATTTACTAATTTTCTTAATTTAAATTATTTCATCCATTATAGCCACTTTTTTTTTAATGGAAATGTATCGCCAAACAGTTGAAATATCATAAACTTAGCGATACTTTGCTTGCATCAAAATTTGCTCTATTACGGCTCTGTTAAACTAGAATGCCACATAAAATTCTCCCACGGTTGCTAAAGGAATGCAGAAACCTTTGACCGCTATGGAATTGTACAATTTAGTAAAGATTCTGGTGGAGGTGGAAAAAGGGATTAGGATATTAGCTTCTGTTTTTAAATTCTGTCCTTGGACTTATTTTTAAAAAATGTTTTTTTAAGAACCAACTATATATTAATATTTCATTTTACTCTTTTGTAGATCAATATATGATCTTTGATTCAAAATTTTGTACCAAAACATTTGAAAAAGAAATAAAAAATCTTGCCAAATTGTCAAAATAAATTATTTTTTTCAAGATATGTTAAAAAAAATAACATTTTGAATAAAATATTTTATAATGTAGACACTTTTCTAGTACACATCCTACACTTTATAAGAAAAAAGAAACAAAAACCTGGAAATTTTAAGATTTTTATCTGGAAAAATCAGGGAAATTTGAAATCTGATTTGAGTGGTCACCCTGTAAATTAAACTTATAAATCAATGAAATGAATAGAAAAATCATAAATTTTGCGGCCACTTTAATTAAAAATATAAAATTTAATTTGACAATTGCGCTACTAAAAAGTTTAAAAGCGTGCTATTTAAACTCCTTGAAGCAGCTGTTAAACAACAAAAGTGGTTAGTTTATAATTTTTTATACACAAAATATTATTCTTATTTTCAGGACATCTAGATGCAGTGTTAGAAAAGCACAGTCATTTGGTAACTGCTACACCACCTCCATCGCCAACTCACTACCAAAATAATAGTCATGAAAGTCTTTTCAGCACATCACCATTGCATACTGGTATGGTAACACTCTTTAATATTTACTGACCAAATAAAATTTATTATTGTGTAGATTTCTAAACCGTGTACTTATTTAAATTCTTATAATATTCTATCAGGTTATAAACAAAACTTTTTTGGAAATACAGTAAGAGACTCCTTTTCTATCAGTTACTCATTTCTTAAATAATTCTCTAATTTAAAAATTTTCTACTAAATGATTTAGTTGTATAGCGTTTGTATTTTGATTGAAAAGTTATTAATTTATTTAAATACTATATTTTCCATAATTGAACTGTATGATCGCTAAAGGGAAAAGATTAGGCTAGTGAAATTTCTCAAAATTTTCAAGCATTTTTGAGCCATAAGTTTGATCAAGTATAGAAGTGTTCACATTTCAGTCATGAGACCTATTGCAATTTTTATCCTTATTGTTGAGTTATAATATTAGGGAGAGAAAAAATTAAAATAAACCATTCCTACAATGAAAGTTTTAAAGTTAGATTGTATCAATAGAAACATCATAAGCTGGGTAAATTATATTGTTGTGGTAGGAAAAAAAACTATTGAGTTTTAGGTCATTACAAACATTAAGGTGAAAGATTACTATTTGTACAGTAGGCTCCTGACTATCCAATCTAATGTGGAGGAATAGGCAGAATAACAAAATAGTTGAATATGGTGAAGTTCTACCTCCTACCACCTTTTCCATAGAATTAAAAACAAATGTTACATATTTTAAGTAATTGATTAATACGAAAATACTCAATCTTTTTTATTTATTTATTTTTTAAATGAACTGCATAAATGGGAAAAGTTATGACCAGAAAGAGTCAATGTGTACTGATAAATGGTGCCATTCTTCAGTCTTGAGAACTGAAAACGATCTTGTAAAAAACTCAGTTGACTTAATTCCCTTAAACCTTTTCCAATTATTTTTATTAATTAAATTTATTTTTTCCCATAAAATTGTGCTAAACCTTTTCTGTTAAAAATGAAAATAAATAATTTTAATAAAAACATTATTTTTTATATTTATTGTGAAATGATCAAGTAGTGATGTCACATCACAATGAAAGAATGGAATTAATCGAACTTCAACATCTTCTTGTGTAATCAAGATATGTACTATTGTTAAATATAAATACGTCCTAACATTTTGAAATACTAACCAAAGTTAAATTACGATTATTTAAACAAAATACATAGAGTGCTAGGACAAATAAATAGTGGTCTGCTGAAAAATAAATGGAGAAATGATAGGCTTTAGAAAAAAGTTTGGTTTATATCAGCGATTAGTGTGAAAAGGTATTCAAAGCTATCTGCTGTTTTTATTTTGTTTGTTGTATAAAATAAGGAAAAATATTGTTTTATTTTTTTTTTAAGAAAAATAAAAAAAATCATTGGTTTAATTATATATATGAGCCATTATGATGGAAAGATATATTTTGGAGTAAGATAGCTATAAAATTCTAGTAAACAATGTTAGACTGTGTTAATTGGTAGAAAAAATAAGTTCGGTCTTTAAATTCTTTTAAGAGTGACACCCATACAGTCTATCTCTTTAACATTCTTGTTTCTTCCACCTTCCTCAATGAGTTTTAACGAAAAGCTGATTCCATTATTCCCTACTTTTACTAGGCTGGATAATATAGAGATCATAAGCCTGCTGTATATTTAAAAAATATTGTAACTAAGTTATGTTTTTTCTGATACCTAAATAAATGTTTCTGTTTATATGTGTCTGTCATGGATCTCCCTAATTTGATTTTTTTTAAAATTTCAATTATTCAGTCTTACTAATTATCAACTGTCTTTTTATTTGAACCCATTTAGGTAGCATATTGAGTGGAATGTTTAAGTCTACAAGCAAAAATCCATTCCAGTCCATGCCTCCGTTAGACGATGAATCTCACCAGCTCAGTGTATTAGCCTTGAAATGTCTTGCCCAGTTGTTGAGTTGGATACCGCTTTCTTCTTACATTACTTCATCACTGCTAACAACGGTTTTTCATTTTGCTAGTTTCGGCTGTCACCCTGAACCTGTAAGCATTGATGTATGTTTTTGGTTCCTCTTGGCGGACATGTTCTGGGATCTATCCTATTTTTTTTTTTCACTCTCATAATTTAACACTTTCATTTTCTAGCTAAACTTTTCATGCATGTTTACTCTTGTATGCAATTGCATGGTCAAACATTGTCCTGAAACACTTTCACTAATTTAAAAAATTTATTAAATAAGCATGTGTGTTTATTAATTGTAAGATGTCACAAAAATAATGTCAGAACTTGACAGTTCGGAGATAGTTTATTAGTTATCAGTAAATTATTATTGTTGAAGCTATTTTTATATTGATTGTTTTTTCTGGTAGGAAATTGTTTTTGCTTGTGTGTTGCTATTTGAATCTAAAAAGTATGTTAATATCTAATGTACGATAATTTTAAATATATTAAGGAAATTATACATTAGGGGAAATGCTTTAATTGCTTAAATGGGAATTTAAACATATCAGCATCATTCAGCTGCAATTTATTAATTATTTTATTTTTTGCATCCTTATTATTATAATAAAAGCTCAGAAAGGCAATTTTTACTTCTTGGATTTTTAACATTTACTGTAAAATAGAGATTATATTGGGCAACTACAAATTCTAAACAACTTTAATGTTACACGAATTCTTGATAAAAATTTGGTCAATTTACCCCTTAAAAGTAAAAGCTGTTTTTTTTATTTGTTTTTGAAATTGATAGTTTAAAGTAGCGGTGCGGTTCCCAAATGGTTTTCGGCGGAATCCCAGGATTCCGTGGAATAGTTAAGTTATAAATAGGTTCCAAGAGTTTTGGCATTTGTTTTAACCAGTAAACTTTAATTATAGTTAGATCTAATCAATAATTGATTATTTATTTGATATTTTGGTTGCCCTTGTGAAATTATTTAAAGTAAAATGTCATTGAAAAAGAAATGGGTGTTTTTTTTAATAAATATTATTTTTCTATTAGCAATATATTGATTAAATTATGAAAAGATCATGCATTTATAAAACTTTTGTTATTTCCCATTTGCAATTTTTTTATTTACTTTATCCGTGAAGTTGAGGCTCCATCGAAAGAAGATTAATAATTACGAGTTCAATTTCCGAAAAATATTGGGAACATCTGATGTAAAATAAGATAAAGGTTTGACAGGCTTTTTTGTTCTAAAAACAAATGACCAAATAATATAATTTTTTTTCCTAATGAGTTTTAAAGTATAAATGCAAAAGAAGTGGAACATTTAGTATAAATTAAAACTTTATTAAATGAGAAAATATAATACATGTTGCATTGATAAATGAGGAAAAAAATTGTAAACTTAAATTTTCTTACAAGTGATTTTTGCTCCTGTGGGCTTGAATAGGTTTTTTTGCCCTATTTCTATGAAAATATAATGGCATATACTTGAATTTGTTTATTGGTTTTACATGAGGTTTTTTAAAGTTTTGATTGATTAAATGACAACTTTTAGTAAAAATAATAAGGTAAAAAGGTGTTTTCGTATCAATATTACTATTTTATCAAAAACTAAAGAGGAAAATTTAATTTACCCAACCTGTTCAACTGACAAATATATTCAAAAAAGAGTTTTAAGTTATGAACCATGCATCTGCAACTTACTATTCTATGTATACAGTAAAACCTGTTTGAGAATTTTGACAGAAAGGACAGATAAAACTTCTTAGACAGTAAAACTGTTTTAGCTGATAGGCTTAAGTTATAAATATGTATAAGATTAAATCTCATAAGTTCTTATTTTTCAAATAATAATATGTACACATAGAATTACTTCATAAAATTTAACTTAGATATTTTCAGACTGAAACATTGATAAAAAAATTAAAAAAAAGTATATATTAAGACTAACTTTCCTAAATGTTTTTGATTTTTTCATGCAATTGCAGGATGTTCTTCTTCAAAAGTTACATCAATATGTTTAGAGTATTAGATTTTTACTAAAATTAAAATATATTTGATCATAGACAAACTTTACATTGGGATATACAGTCAATTCGCTATAACTCGAAGTACGATAACTCGATTATTACTATAACTCGATTTTTTTATGAGGTCCCGACCCTTTTATCTTCAATTTCATGTTAATTATTCTCGATTGCTCGAATTTTACTCCCTTTAACTCGATTTTTTTTGGATCTTTTAAAGCAAGAAAAAAAACCTAGAAGCTGATATCTTGCCCCTTCCTTTGCAACGCACACACAATGTCTTTCGCACTCTTCATGGAGAAGATAAAGCTGTCTCTCTTGAAGTATGTGAACAGTGGTTAAGTGAAACGTTACCAAATTTACTTCAAGGATACAGTTAAAATTATGTTTTCAATATTGATGAAATGGGTTTATTTTTTAAATGTCTTCCAAATAAGACTATGATGTTTAAGGATGAAAGCTGCTCAGGGGGTAAAATGAGCAAGGAACGTTTGACTGTCCTAGTTGGAGGAAATGCGCCTGGGACAGAGAAATTGACCTTACTTGTTATCGGAAAGAAAAAAAAAAGCGAAATCCCCGATGTTTCAAGAATGTTAAAACGTATCCTTTGGATTACAAGTCTAACAAAAAGTTTTGGATGACATCAGTTTTATTTGAAGACTATGTAAGAAAATTGGATCGGAAATTCTTCGCTAAAAAAAGAAAAGTGATACTCTTTATGGATAAATGCACAGCGCATAGTGATCTACCTAATTTGAAAGCAGTAAACTTGCAGTTTCTCCCGCCAAACACAACAGCAAAGTTGCAGCCGATGGACCAGGGTATCATAAAGTGCTTCAAACAGTCTTATCGTAAATGGCTTGTCAGAAAAATGATCTTAAATATTGTAAGCATTTAGAAGATTTGTAATTAATAAGCATTAATTAAATAATCCGACAATATTTTGAAAGTCCAAAACCGAAACTAACGGTAAGTCGAACTTCCGATATGGCGAAGTTTTTCGTCAGTCCTATCAGATTCGAGTTATCGCGAATTCACTGTATATTATATTATTAATATTATAGAATTTACATTCGTGTGAAAATTAAAATTTTTATATAATTTACTATAATTGAAAAGTAAATCTTCGATATATATGATGCATACATCAAGCTGCCCACTTGAATTCATATTCAGCTTTTGAACAACTGCAGCAATAGTTATGAAAGGGGTTATCTAGATGAAGTAACTATGCACTACAAGATAAGAAGATCAACTACACAACCCTGTGGAAAATTAGATATTATTAGTTCTTAGATTAGTAAAAGATATTAGATATTAATTCTTAGAAAAGAATGTTTAAAACCTGCTTCTTACAAATTCCTACATATTATCATGACTAAGCAATCTTAGAAGGAAGAAAAAAAAAGCACTACTATTTATCTCAGAATTTGTTCATTTTCGATGTTCGAAGTGCAAGAGAAATTTATACTCCGAAAGTAAATGTATATTATGAAAAATAGTTTTTTGATAATGGTTTCATCACAGAAGGGATGTTTCCTAGACCAATGCCAATAGCCTTTTGTACAGCTCTAGTGTGACATAAATAAGTATTCATCACGAGGAATGAGATTGTAAACACACAAATGTGCTCTTTCTAAATCTTAATGTACACAAGTTATATATTTGCAATAAATTAATGGTGCTCTTCTACTTAGTCTATTGAACTTTTTCCTTCTTTCTTGCTGCTTTGAAGGAAGGTATAATTACTCCACAGTTTACCTATCACCAGGTGACTCACTAATTAGTGCAGCAAAAGTTGAAGAGGTTTTGCTACAAGCTTAAGTGGGTATTGACATTGTGTGTTAAAAGCAAAATTTGCATGTGTCAATACTAGAGAAATAAATGTGACTTGGAGAAAAGAAAAATTTTATCAGTGTCAACTGAGTTCAATACACAGTTTTAGCTACACAAAAAAAATTTTATTAAAACTTAACTTTCATTCAGAATCAAAAATGTAACTAAAAAGCTTTAGCAAAAAGAAATGTGCAGTTAATTATTTCGTAACTTTTTTTGCTAATAAGATAGACAAACATAAAGATAATTTAACAAGTTTAAAAGAGTAATCTTGTGACTGTGATGTAACTTCACAGTCAGAACTCTTTTTTTTTTTCCCCTTTGCATTTTGGGTTTACTTTTTAACAAAAAGCACTCAAAGAACTGCAGGCAAAGAAAAACCTGTAACGCAAAACTTTTCATTGTGTATTCCGTATTTCTTTTTTTATTATTATTATTAAATTGCAGACTCTAATTAATTGAATTAAAACTGAGATTTTAAATGAAATTTCTGAAAATCTGAGTTTTTGAATCATTAAATGATTCAATAGCAAAATTTCAAAAAATGCAATTTGTGAGATGTCAAAACATTTAAGTCACCTGAACTATTTATTTTTACCTCTTTTTAGTTTGTTATTGATATTGATGGTGAAAAAAAAAGATAACTTTCATCAATGTTTTCTATATTTTTACTTACTTATCATTGTTTTCTGCAATTGCGGGTTTTCAAGTGCATGAAAAATATTTCAAGTAGGAGACAAAATTAGATTCAAAATGCAAAAAGGAAATTGATTGATTTAATATTGTAACGAATATTAAATGTCATCATTAAAACTATAAGAAATCATTAAATATTTTTATCTTGGAAAAATTAAATAATAAAATACATGGCCAAACCATTTATTTGTAATATTCAATTCAACCAAAAATATTTGATTAACAAAAGCAAACCTTACTCTTTTGCAAGAGTTATCTTAATTGAATGGACCAAATACTTTTCATAAGTTAGGCGTGTAATGTGTCAAATAAGTTTGATGTAATAATAGGACTATAATTTGATTATGAGTTCACAGAAATGATTTTAGAAGAGAGACAAAGGAAATGTGTGCTAAATTTATGGTGTTACTTTTTTTTTTCTTAAAAAAACATTAATGAAGTTTTGTTTTACTATATGAAATATGCCAATTGGAAATACACATTTTAATTCTATCTTGGAAAGTTGATTAGTTGAACCTCCTAATATTTAAATAATGTTTTTTTGTGGGATTGTTAAGACTATCTTTAAAATATTACTTAATTTTTCTGTTATTTTATGTTAAAATTATTTTTCCCTTTTTTTTCAGTTGGTATGAAAAAAAATTTCTTTTTGGTTTTTAGGGACGACAAGTTCTAGCAACAAGTTCTGACCATTTCGCACATTTGACTTACCTCTACATTTTCATTTAATTTTCTTTAATAATAATACCGAAGTTAAACTGAATTCATATTAATATACACCTATATCTACTAATATTCCTCTTTCTATGCTGTTGTAGATTGATTCGGTGGCGAATGGGTGCATTGAATAAAGAAACCAGTTTGTTATCAAATATCGATACCAAGCAATTTCAATAATAGTTAAGTAAAACAAAAAAATATGATGGTTTTTTAGGGCTTTCTAAAATGCCATTCATTCCGATCCATTGCCTGTCACACAAGTGATTCAGAATTATTATGAGTGATTACAATGCATTCTGTTGATCAGACAGAAATTCATAACATAGACATATATATCTACTAATTTTCCTCTTTCTATGCATGTGTCTGAATGCTAGTAAAATCCGTACATAAGGGGAGAAAATTAGAAACAAACTGAATCTTAAAATTTATTTTGCTTTTTAATTTTAGGTTATGCATGTCGGAATGCAACAATACCAGCCTCTAAGGAAAAATACAGATCTTGGCATTCAAGCAATGGGGTGCATTAATGAAATTATGTCTAAACAGTGTATACCTGCAGATTATGAAGGGTTCTTGCTTCAAGTATTCCAAGACACTTTTCATTTACTGCAAAATCTTACCAAGGATAACTCAAAAAGTGCTTCTAACAGAAATACTTTAGCCGATATTGATGATGTGTAATAACTTTTTTCTTTCTTATTTTATAGTTTAAAATTTGAAGGGGGTTGCATAATAGCTTTTTTTTATTTTATTTAAGTACAGCTATGTAAAAGAATATGTATAAATATATTTTATATGTCATGGCTCTCAGAAAATTGTGAACATAAATATTTGCTGACTTTTTACAAAATAAAATCCTTCGAGTTGGAACAACGGTAAAAAACTGCAAAAATATTAAAAAATTGCAAAGAAGTTTTAATGTACAAACGTGCTTTGGTTGTGTTCATTTTATGATAAAGCCAAACTTTATTTAATTTTCGTGCAATAGATACATTTTTATCTTTTTTTAAATTATTTTTTAGTACCAAGTATGAGTTACAACTAAAAATAAAAAAAAACTAGATTTTACAAACAGATAATGTTTTGATTATGTTTTTTTTTTTTTTTTTTTTAATTATATCAGGTTTGAGTTTTAACTTTGAAAATGATAAAAAGAACTGTAAAAATGTTATAAAGTTTTAATGTACGAATATGCCTAAGTAATATTCTTTTATGATGAGGCAATACTTTCTTTAATTTTAGTGCAATAGATACATATTTATCTCTTTTTTTTTATTCAATTATTTTTTTAGAACCAAGTTTGAGTTGTAACTAAAAATAAAAGAACTAGATTTTACAAATAGATAATTTTCAGATTACTTTTTATATCGGGTTTGAGTTTTCACTAGAAAAAGGATTAAGGGGATATTTTCAGATAAACAAAAAATTGTGCACACCAGTCTATACTATGCATGTTTGTGTTAGTGTAATATAAGTAATATAATATACATGGCTGACCATTCATTCTATATTGAAAATTTGTCACCATTTATGTTTAGAAACATTTATAATTGTGCACAACTAAACCATGTGAAAATTTGATTGGAAATAATAATGCATTTTTATATGTACTGAAACATTATGCTAAGATGTTTGAATCACACAATGTTTCTAAAATTGGTAATATTACCCTAATTTTAGAAGCAGTGCCTGCAATTATTGCATTGGAAGTTAAAATCAATATCTTTTTATGATAACTCTGTTGAGGTATTTATATCTTCTGTTTTATTAGAAACAATCTTATTCTCTGTTTTGAAAATCATTGCTGTTATTGATTTTTAAGAAGAAAAAAAAAAAACATCTAAATATTCTTAATAAGATGTTGCACACTATTAACTGTTTCTAAGCAGATTTTAAATAATATCAGAGACTGTAGTTATTAAAGGTTAACCAAAGATAATGCATATTTCAGAATTGTTGCAAAAATCTTTCTCATCGTATTTTACATAGTAGTACATTTAAGCTTGCAATAAGATCATTTGTCTATGCTATCAGGCTATCATCAAACAGGCCTGCTGACCAGGAACGATCCACTAACTTAAAAATGATGGTAAATAATAAAAACACAACAAGGGAAATTTATAAAGATTTCATAAAATTCCCCGTTAATTAACTACTATTTTTTACTCTTTTCTAGGCCTGCAATTTAAGACATTTTATCTCTCCCTTTTTGCTATACATTACACATAAATTAAGTTTAAATAAAATTGTTTTTCTGCCAATTTATTTTGATTTTTTTTTTCTAATAGATACATTGAGAAGTTCACATATTTTCTTCAACTCTTTGTAACTAATCATCTAAAAAGATTTGAAAGCAGTGCTCAGTTTCCAATTTTAGAATTTCTCGCGCTCCTCTTCAAGTATACTTTTCAACAGGTAAGTAAATTATTACATTTTGTTTCTTAAAAAAAAACATTTATGATGACTGTAAATCTAGTTCAACTATGTTCTTGCCTTTTTCAAAGTCACAGAACAATTGTAATTTTATTAGATTTTTGTGGAATACTGTCTTTAAATAAAAATGTAATTTTTTTAAAAAATAAAATTAGATATATTTTATAGTAAAATTTGGTTTTTTTTTAGTACAATAGTTACATAGAATGCTTTATTCTCGTTAAATAGTATGATTTTTTTATTAGAAATCAGGAAATTTTTATTTCGATTTGTAAATAACCCCATCTCTTTTATTGTTTTTTAAAATTTTATTAGAACTTATTTTTAACGTATGAGCAAACTCATTTATTATTTTCAGGGGTCTGTCCAGACATTTTGTGAAAGGTCCGTTTATCGTTAAATTGTGAAAAAATTACATTCTTTCAACCAGGGTCCGCTTTTATGAATTTGTGCAAATAGAGTCCGGTTATTGCAAAAAACTCTTTCAAGGAGTTTTTAAATTGTAAATAGATACAAGATTATGCTCGGCACTGTAAATTAAAAAAATTTAATTTTCAAAAATAAACAACAATTGCTGTTTCTAAATTAGAGATGCAACATACAAATATTTGGTATTTAGCCTATACTCCTGAACGCAGAATATTCATTTCGGACGAATAATGGAAGAATCGTCTGCCGAGGACATAACTTAATTTGTTCACATCCATCTTTCTTGTTTTCTGCCCTGGGAAGGGTTTATTCGATCAACAAAATTATAATGAAGATAAGTAAATTTGAGAAGGGTCCGATTAAAAGAAAAATCATTCTGTGAAGGGTCCGTTTTTAAGTTAAAATATTTTGTGAAGGGTCCGTTTTTATGAAAAGATATTTTGTGAAGGATCCGTTAACGGACCCAAATTTCTTCTAAACAGACCCCTGATTTAGCAGTCAGATTTTAAACACTCTTGCCAAAACTTATATAACTTAGTTGCTAAATGTTTATAAGTTATATATATTAATGTTTTTTTTTTATTGTTTGAAAATTTCAGTTGTTAAATTTCAGTTAAATGTTTCATTATCTCAGCATCCATTTTGTGATTAAATGTGGCTTTTTAATCATTACACTTAACAAATTTTTGGAAAGAGAATCAGTTTTATCTTTATATTATATATTTACATATGAATAATTCAAACTAATTAAAATTCTCTAAAGGTTAACGTTTTAAATAGTTCACAAAAAAATCAAGTATCTTATTCTTAATTTACAGAACAATTGTAGTAGAAATTGAGTATATTTCTCAGGCTGTGACTCCTAAGAAATTAACTTAGTCTATATCTCTTGTTGCAGGTCCTTTTTTATGCTTGTTGAATAACATTAACAGATTTTGTATCAATACTACTTAATTATATATATATTTTTTTAACACTTGATTCTTACTATGCTACTTAATTTTATGTTTAATTTCTAAACTATTGTTTAATAAAATATTTTAATTACAATTTTTTATATATTTATTTACCATAATAATTTTTTTTTCCTGTGTATCATGTCTCTCACATGTTACTTTATTTGATTACAGCCTTCCCACGATGGTTTTTATGCTTGTTTAGAAATCTGGAACACATTTTTAGACTATTTAAATTTCAAGTTAAAAAATGAAGAGAACAATTATGACGTGACTTTCAATAAGTAAGTTTTTCATTTTGAAGATTTTCAATTGATTATTATTGTTATAATAGTTTTAATTTGAATATTATTCATATTTCATTATAAAAATGTCTTTTCTCTTACTAACTCATTTGCTTGAAGAGTTTAATAATAATTATTTGTATGAGTTTAAATTTGCTTTTTAAAATATTAAACAGTTTATTAAACAAATAAAATTCAGTTCATATCACAAAAAAAAATTTGTTTTAGTTCTTCCTCCATTTTAATACTGTTTAACTTAACAGTTTTAGTATTCACTAAGTACTCTCATGTTATTGCCAATTTTAACAACATTCTGTGTGTAACATTTTTTCTATTTTTAATATATGACCTGAATTAATCAAAACTCTTCAATCTGAAAACTTAAATAACAAAAATACATTTTTTTTTCTTCTCTTTTTTACTGAATATGTCTTTTATTTACTGAGTTATTACAACTATTTTCTGAGGCATTGCATATCAGATACTAACACTAAGGAAAAAATGACTATAAAAAAATATGCTATTGTCACTTATTTCAAAGCAGTTGCAACTCGGAAAGTGATTTAGCTCACAGTGTTATTATTTTTTTCATTGAATCATCTGTAGCTCATTTGAACAACAAATATATTGTGATTCCACTGGATAGGTGTGGTCAGAAAAAAAAATGAAACTGCATTTTAGCAAAAAATGAACTATTACATGCATGTCAATCTGTGTTTAATATATATATATATTAAACACAGATTGACATGCATGTAATNATATATATATATATATATATAATAAATTCAAATATTGTGTGATATTTTACCATCTTTTTCAGAGAAGGTGGGAAGAAAGTCTCCTGCTTATTTTTCACAATAATATAAACTACTCAGGCTTTAATCGACCACCTTAAACTGTGTAAAATATAAAGATAAAGTAGATTGCTTCCTTTTGGACATGCATTCAATGATCACAATTCTTATGGTTCTTGATTTAAATTGTTTAGAATTCCTAAAATTGTTAAATAATTATGTGAATTGTAATTGTAACTAATTGTGACTTAATTATTTGCAATGATTTTCTTTCTAGGTATAGAGAAGCCTTATTAGCTTTAGTTCAAGAAATTTTAAGGAAGTTACAATTTCGCTTTAATCAGTCAAGCTTAGAGGAACTGGACGATGAAGATTTGGATGATGATGTATATATGTTTTCCTTATATCACACTAAATAAACTAAAGAACTTTAACGGGTATAAACATTTTAAAAACTGTCAGTTGGTATACAATTGCTATCATGAGAATGTTTGCTTGAATTTGACCCAAGTGGTTGTAATATTTCAAATAGTATTTAGCTTGGGAGGTGAGTGTGGTATGTGTTTAGTTAGCTGAGTTTTACTCCGAACTTACAACATTCAAACTAGATATATAGTTCCGGAACCCTTGATTATTTACTACCATGTCTAATATGAGTTCCAAAATAAAATTGTTTATACTAAAATTTATTTTATTTTGATAAAATGTTTAAAAATATTTATTGTACCTGTTTGTGTATTTCTTTTCTTTAAAATCATCCCGTTTAGTTCAACAGAGTTTATATATATATACAGAAATATTTATTTTTTTTTTTTTTTGTAGTATATAGTTTCTATGAACAATATGAAATGTAAAAGCATGATTTCAATATTTTTCTAACCAGAAAACACTTTTAAAAATAATACTGATAAAAGACTATGACTTGATTAATAAATTGTGGTAGTAAATTGAGGTAATAAAAATACTGCAAGTTACATTAAATTAATTTAATAATAATGTAGAAAATCTCTTTTTAGAACTTAATTTAAAAATAGCAATGGGAATTAGTATCATTCTATATTGCCACTATGTTTTAATGAATGTAATAAAATCATGTAATCCAGAATAACTATATTTTTCCTTGAAGCCACGTTAAAATCAATTTAAATCTGTATTTTAAGTTTAACTACTTATTTAATAATTTTTTATAAAGACTGGTTTGATCTATGTTATGGAACATCGCACTATTATCTAATATTTCCATTTTGTTTTTTAGTCCTTTACTGAGTGGCAATCTTTTTTGTGCCAATGTCTTGAAATTGCATCCAAAGTGTCTGATTTGATGCCAAATGAAATTTTTAATTTAGTTGTAAGTACTTTTTGACAGTATCTTATTCTTCTTTTATGTGCAAACGGGAAACAATGTTTATTAATTGTAAAATAATTTTTTACTAATAAATAGAATTTTAGAAGATAGCAATAGTCCCTGTCAAAGAATTGCACCAGTTTGTTAGACCCATGGAATGTGCACATTGTGCACTACACATCCTTAATGCTTTCAAACAAATATACAAAATCTGTTTGGTTTAACTATTAGCCATAAAAAAAAAATTTAAAAATTAAGTAGCATTACATCTCTTGATCTATACATAAGTATTCTTTTTAATATATTTCTGGAAAATTTTTCAACTTTTTATAAGTTAAGGCATTATATCCTTATGAATTTTGGTCTGTAACTGGGATGATAAATCTTGAACAACAAAATTTCCTATTAGGTTCAAGTGAGCTCGGATTTAAGGTCTCCTGGCTTAGGTCACAAAATGTAGATATGAACTATTGTCTACTGTGTGCAGAAAGTCGCCATGTTTTGCAGAAAATTTTCAGTTTTGAAAAATATTTTGATTCCATTTTATAGAAACCCGCTAATCTCATTTTCACACTTTTTTAAATTCTCTTTTGATTTTTGGAATAGTGTCATTATTTTAATGTAACAAATAATGTTTTTTGTTGCTACTTAAATATCGTTTCCTTGTTGCAAAAATGTTTTATGTGCAGAAAGCTTTTGGTTTTATACTCTGCCTTTAACCAGCTTACAAACGTTTCAGTTTTTGTTGATAACTTTTGCTTCTTATGCTATTCTAATTCAGTGTTATTCTTTGTTCTTTTCTTTTTTTTAATTTCATTATGTAATGACTTTCTGCTGATTAAAAGAATCAAAATACTTACTATCAGATTTATGGTAATTCTTAAAGCTTTTACTTTTTGTCTTTCTAACTTTGCATTGTTGAGTCAATATCATTTTTTTTTCTCTTTGTACTTATTTCACGCTCTATGGTGACTTTCATTTGATGTGTATATAATATACTAGGGTGTTAAACCCCTGTCCGCTGCTGTTCACCAACCCTGATGATTCCTTCACAATAATTGTTTCTTAGCAGAAAACAGTTTTTCTACTAAAATTAAAATTATTCATTTAACATATATGAACTAACATATACTAAAAGGAATTCTGTTTGCTTACTCTTGTGCCTCCACTCCCTATGTCCAAATATTATTATCTATTCTTCTTCTTTGTCAGCACAACAGCCCCTTGCAGGCCTTCGCTGCCTCAACAGCTGACAAACACCAGCACCGCCTATAAATGGCAACTCCCTTCCAATTTCTAATCTTTAGAGTTTTCAAATCATTTTCGATGTTGTTGAGCCATCTAGTATGGGGTCTGCCTCTAGGACGTGACCCCTCGGGGCTCTTAAAGGTGACCATTCTCATGGTGCTGTTTTCAGGGCTTCTCCATAGGTGTCCCAGCCATCTCTTATTAACTATTAGTATTATAAATATTTATATCTATTGATGTGACATTCATGACAATGACATTCATATTGCTATAACATTATATTGTTTAAACAAATTTGTTGAGTTCACAACCTTAATTTAATATTTTCACTTCATCACGTATCTCATTGTGCCGGAAGCTGCAGTCTAAATCATTTAACAGATCTCTTTAACTGTAATTTATAACAGTATATTAATGTTATTTGCAGAAAGGGAATAATTGTAAAACAGTTAATAAGATTAGACCACCTTAATAAATTTTATAATAATAATAAATAAATAACTAAAACAAATCTCTTAGTTTTAAACTCTTGAATGAAAAGCGTAATAATAGCAGTACAGGAAAATAACTTTAAATTAGGGATACAAAAACATTTATAGAAGAACAATACCTTCATGACTTTTATTAATTTTATGCCGATGACAACCAAAACAATATGAAAATGAATGAGGAAAAACTGGATCCTACCACTTGATTTTACAATAAAAATGAGCAGACTACAATGGAAAACTGCGACACAATCATTAGATTTTTATGTATAGTAAAATATATAAATACTTAACACTCTTGATAATTCACAAAACTGCTTTCATATACTCTTTTTATTTCCTATCCTGCATTAAGTAAACCATGCAGCTCTTTGCCAATGAGTTTTTTGCTGATATTTATGAGACATTTAGTTTCAAAACTAGTTTTATTCATTTTCTGAAACTTCATTGGTGTAATAAATGATCTCTCACTCTACATATGAAATTAAGAACATATATTTGGAAAGAACTGAAATTCTTTACCTTTCATCAACTTTAATATAACTGTTTTATATTAATTTGATTTTGTTACAATATAAGAATTCACTAGTGCTTTCTAGATTGATTTAGTAAGAAAAAAAATTTGGAAATGTAATGATTAGAATATATAAATACTCTATGTGAAGTGTTGTATTAATTTCAGTGAAATTATTATTATTTTCAAATTTAATTTGCATATTTTTTAACAGTATTCAATATTTGAAGAGAATTTGCGAATTTACTTGGAGCTTGAAAGATTTGTTAAAACTGATGCCAATCACTCGCCAATTGAGCTTAGCATCTGTGCTGAAAATGAATGTCGTAGATTGCACTGCAGTCTCAGAGATTTGTCTTCAATGCTACAAGCTTTAGGACGTTTAGTTGTGAATTTCTGTGGTGACAATTTTGTAAATCGAAAGTTAGAGGCACAAAAAATCTTAGAAAAGTAAGTCTATTGTTTAAGTTTTACCAGAAAATGCTGTTTACATATTTTATGTTGACAAATATATTAAGTCTAGTTTTCATGTTTAACTGTGTATCATAGTTTTCTATTGTTGTTATGCATATTAATTTTGTTGTGAAGCCTATGTATATTTATTCTACTGTATATGTTTCACTATGTTATCCTACATGAAGCATACTTGTTATAAACAGGGTGCATAGCGTTTTTAAAAAATGCTTAAATGGACTTATTTTCGTTTTTTAAAAGCTCTTAAAGGTGCTTTTTTTCATTGGGTGTTTTTAAAAAGTGCTTAATTTTCCCTTTTTCAATATGAGATTTTTCCTTTACCATGTTGATTTTCGCTACAAATTATGCTTAAAGACACAGTTCACATTGTTCTATTCTGCTTTTTCATAATAAATTCAGCCCCAATTTATTTCAGAGTATTGTCAGTCTGTAGCTTATGAAAACGCCATGTGTTTTACATGTTTCAAAATTTTATGAATTTTGACAATTGTCAAAAACAATGCCAAAAGTTTTTTTTTTGACATGACGGTTAAAATAAGATAAAACCGTCAATTGTCAAAAGCTTTTCAACCCTGCCTAATTATGATATTTTTTTAAAGTGCTTACTTGTTGTGTTGTTACTTGTTGTAAAGTGTTTTTTGAGTTCTTGAAAAGTGCTTATTTTTTGTTGAATAATTTGGCTACGCTCCCTGATACACTGATACTTCATTACTTTTGGAAAGTGTAACTTTTTAACCTTACCTGTTTTTTTTATTTGGTATCTATCTCCCCTTCAATTTAAATAAAGTTTTCAGGGAAAATAGAAATGTTTTTTTAATTAATTCATAATTTTTTAATACTATTTTAGATTATGCCATGCTGCTACTTACAGTAATCGTCTTAAATTTTATGAAATGAAAACAGAAGCTCCATCTGTTTTAAAAGGAGACTTTATTGAAGTGTTAGTATTTTTTCTTTCTTTTCTCTGAAGCTTATTAAAATTTTCTTTTCCAAAATTAATTTAATTAACTTATGTATTGCAGTCATGCTCAAATTTTAGCTACATTGAAGGCTTTTTGTTACTGGTTAACAGAATACAGCAAAGAAAACATTCACATACCAGAAGAAAATTCCGATGGTGGATCTATTGAAAAAGTGTTTGCTAATATTGCAATTGTAAATATAAAAAAAGAGGTAAAATGTTCACTTTTAAATATTCCTTCCGAAGCTATAACCAAAATTTTCTTCATTTTAGAAATATTTCAGGAAAATTATAAGTAATCTAAAAGATAAACTGAAACTAAATAAAGTATAAAAACTAAACCATGAATTTTTTTTTTTGTTTTTGTAAATTCTCTTGTTCCTCAAGTTTTAACTATGAATGTTATGAACAGACCTTACACTTGATGGGCTGTATAGTTTTACATTAAATGCTATAACCAGATTTATTTTTCCTATTTATCTAAGTTTTTATAAGTTAAAAAAAAGTTTTGCATTGCAATATTTTTATTTGATTGATGTAGCAGTAATTTTGTTTATGTCTTGAAAAGTATAATTTTTCCACTTTTTTACATCACATAACATTTACATCTTATGATTGGATTGTTATTAATTGTTTTAAACAATATAATTTTAAAAATATTTTGATGCAATACTGTAAATATAACTGTATTGTAATGTTTTCCTAATATTGAAAAAAATTCCATTTTTCTCAAAAATATTATACAATTCATTTTGGTCTATAATTTTATTGATACTATTAGTTTGATTAAAAATTATCTTATAACTAGTCTTTATATCAGCAGTACCTGTTATAATTTTTTGAAAGGAGTTATTTCTGTTTTACTGCAAAAGGATTTAAAAATGGCCTCTTAATGCATACTTTTCTTTCAGGTGCCAGAAAAAGTTACACATAGCGCTGCTCACTTATTAATTTCACTTACTTATACTGTGAGACCAGCTCTTTTATTTCAGTTTATTCCCGTGCAAGAATTATTTTCTTTGGTTGCCAAATTAGCGCTCAGAACTTTGCCAATAGAAGTAAGATATTTTTAAATGTGTTTCTTGTAAACAATTTAACACTTTATATTTATTAAATCTGTTTGAAGTTTTAATAGGTCAATCTAATATAAGGTATAATATCTGAATAACATGTGCTAATCCTATTTAGATATTAGACCTGAAATTTAAAAAGTAACCAGGTTAATAAATTAATTGAAGACAAAAAAATAAAGTGTGAAAGGCTATTTTTATAACATTTGTACCAGCTAATAAACGATGTATTAAAGTTATAACTCAGAGACCCATTTCACTCAGAGCCCCATTTTAAACAAAAGCAACTCTTAAAATGTATTCATATCTTTTAAGGAAAAAAACACATAATTGTGTATTGTTCTTTTTCCACTGAATATATGAGCGAGTTCGCATATTAATAAGAATATGCTCTTGTATGATGTTTATTAATATCTAATAGTAAATATTGTTTAAATTACATTTATTTAATGAGAAAAGAACTATCTATTAATGCCCAATTAATAATTTTTTAGTAATATTTTGTATATTTATATTAGAAAATTTGAAATCAACTGAAAAATCACTAAATAAATTAGAAGCTCAGTGTCAAACTGTCAAAATCTGTATGTAAAATTCAATGATAAAAATTTAAATTTGACAATTGTATTTACTTAGATACTGTAAGTAATTAATACTAACTTTAAAAAACTTTTTTTTTCCTTTTTATCTGAGAATGGTGACAAACAACTTTTGTACTACATTAATTAAAGGAAGTGGTCCTCATTATCAGCTGAACTCTTCATATAGGCTGTCGTTTATAAAATGTATATAAAACTTACTTATAATTAATTCATGTAGATTAAAAGATTCATTATAACAACTGAATAATATGTCCTGCCATTGCTAGAATTCAAAAATCTGCACTATCTACTGACCATGTGTTGTGTGTGCCCATTAATAAAATATAAATGGAATAGAATACTGAAAAGTAATGTATGTCAAAGAAAAATAATTTTAAAAAAGCAATTTTAAGTTCATGTACTTGTGATACATTTTTAAAACATCCAGACTGGAAACTGTGGACACTAATAGATTAAAGTTCCTGTCCTTATAGTTGCAATGGATCCCTATTTTACATGGTTAAGAATAATTTCATATTCTTTTAAAACATGGTTACAGTTTTGGGCATATAGAACTCTCCAGTACATTTCCTATAAGAATGAACGTTCTCATAAAACTTAAGCATTTGAAATGTACGTATAATATATCCTTAAAAAAACCTTGATACTTATTTAAATATTGCCTATTTCTTGAATAATGTGTGTAAATATGTATTTTTTTTTTAATTTCAGACTCAACTAGTAGTTTACAGATCTATGTCTAACCTTTTAATTTTACCCTGGCCAAAAATGCAGGACTCTCAGCAGCTCTGGCCTGCTCGATCTACACAGCATGATGCTTTTTTAATATCACTTAGTGAGCCACTAAAATCTGCCTGTACTAACCCAGCTTTCCTAGAAGATAAATCTCTTCAAGAAAGAGGTAACATTTATTTTTCTATGTTTGCTGTATAAAGCCTGATTATTTATACATGCAGTTGTTTTATGGTAGATGTTTTCTAGTACTATGTTATAAAATGTGTTTGTCATCAATGTGCTATAATGAAAGAAATATTTTGCATGATGTAATGCCTAATACTTTTAAAATACTGTTTTTCTTTCAGTAAAATAATTTAACACATTCAAAGAGTATTTTGTGTTATGAATATTTAACCGTTCCCTTTTTTTTTAAACAATTGCATAAAAACTTAATTTAAATTCTGTGACTTTTTTCTAAATTATTATCTGATGTTTACATATACAACTCAAACAATAACTGTTAAAAATAAGAAGGATCATATTTTATTATGTGAATCTATATTATTAATTTATGTGAAGTTTGAACAGTGACTTATCTTTTTAGTTTCAATTACATTTTTCATATGATATTACCTGCTTTAACCTAATTGTGTAAAGGATTTAAAATTTGTGAAATTATTTAATGTGATCTTCAAGCTGATCAGTTTTTCTATGGAACTTAATGCTTACTATGAATAATGCAGAGTTCTTCTTAAGAAAAAAAAAAGGGCAGAGCGCTTCCTCTCAGAAAAGGGCACTAACACCGTAGAAATTTATTAAAATGTATAATATTATGTAATAACTGAATTTTATCTTCAATTTTAAATTACCTACTATTTTATGTGTATGTTTAAAAGTAATTCTCTCGCATTATCAAAATAAGAGAAAAATTTGTAATTTATAAAAATAATTAAAGGGATGGTAAAAGACAAATCTGTGCATAATTTTTTTTTTTTTTTTTTTCAAAAAAAGTAAACTAAAAAAAGATTAATTGATAAACAATTTGAAAGCTTCTTTCTATATTTCAAACTGAAAATTATGAGAAAATTAACATTGAAAGGTGCATTTTTAAAAAAGAAGTTTTTATTTAAAAAATAATTTTGATTTTATAATCACTTAAAAGAATTTATTAACGAAGTAAATATTTGTAATAGTAATCAGAATCAAACCTATAAATGCAGATAATTTTTCCTGAGTGTAATTATTATTTAATACAGTGAATGAATCTTTTTAAGATGAATAAAAAGACAGTGTTTTTAAGAGATTGTGGCTTATTTTTATAAAAAGGAAAAAGGTGCATTTATTGGGATCAAAGGGCAAGCAGGGCAGGCTGCCCTTCCAAAAATGCTTAGTCAGAACGCTGAATGATATTTGAATGCTTCTTTTGTTAGTTTGTTTTTTAGTTTCTTATTTAAGAATTTTACAAATCGTTTGTTCTTGTTTTAAAAATATATAGATAGATAGATTTTTTAAAGATTTGCAGTACAATTGAATTAAACTTTAAATATGTGATGAAGAAAGAAACTTTTTTAATTAGAGTTATAATGTATTGTTATCATTTTTACTTTCATTTAATATTAAAGAAGCAGAGTCAGTATTCACTGCCACATGTTGGACTCTTACTATTGATATACAATGTCTTTTTACTGAATATAAAATAATAAAAATATCCTCTGTTTCCTCAATATTAACCGCTTCCTTGGTTATAAAGTTATCTCAAATTTTATATATTGCAATTAGTAATTATCTCTAGAAAACATGGAATAGCAGTGCTTGTTATATTGATTTGTTTTATCCAGTTTTAAAACACCAAAAGGAAATAATTCTGTCTTTATTGGCAGTTTGCCACATTTTGTTTGAGAGCTATCATTTCATTTGGTAACAGGACTGGGTTTTTTTTTTTTACTCAGTTATATGTGAGATAGCTAAATTGAAATAAAAAATTATGTTAATAATGAATTAGATTAAAGAAGAGATAAAAATTATTAGTGTATACGAAGATAATGCAAATAATTTCTCCTGTAAGTAGCTTTATGAAAGACTATATTCGGCCGTCAAAACTACCCTAGCCCCTTAGCTAACTCAGGTCACTAAACTAAATATCAAACTAAATGTTTGTTTTTTTCACTTGTAAAAAAAATAAAGACATGTGAAATTTTAGATAAAGACATTAGGCAAGCATCACATTAGCTACTGTAGTCAGTGATAGTATATTCTAAGTGAAGAAATATACTTCAGCTCTATCTTGCTTAAAGAATAGTGGTTGCTAAAGTGAGATGAAACATTTAGAAGCATATTATTCTTCATTTTATATCTATTAGACAAGCATCACATTAGCTACTTCAGTCACTGATAGTATATTCTAAGTAAAGAAATAAACTTCAGCTTATCTTGCTTAAAGAATAATGGTTGCTAAAAAGAGATGCAACATTTAGAAGTATATTACTCTCCATTTCTAGTAGTTTGTAATATTTTTTGAATAAATGTTTCCGTATTGGGCACAGCATCATAAAAGTTTAAAATAATTTTATTATCCTTTGTTGCAGTTTCTTTTATTTAATAATTTAAAGTCTTTTTCTTTTTACTCTAAAAGATTGGCAGTGGAACTGATTTCATAATTATTTTATCACTTCACTGTATTAGTAAAGAAAATCATACTTGAGCAATTTAGTATAGTGTCATTTTTGGGTAAAACAATTGATAACAATAAAATATTTTTTTTAAAAAAGCGATGTGCAGGAATTTAGCCATCCTAAGTTAGTGGGTGACATATCTAACTTAGCCCTTTTTTAAGGTTTTAGGTTTTTTAGTACTTATGTTATAGTTTTACAATACAGTTATACAGTACAAGAATGTTTTCATGTTTACTCAAATCTGTTTACCGAAATTTACATTGACTTGAAACTATTATTTGTGAACATATGGCCATCGTTCTTAAGATAGTGCTATTGTATTTAATAGTTTAGAAATTAGTGTTTTTATCTTGTGATGTATCAATATGTTTTATATTGACACCCATGATGTTTAGTATGTATTTCATTGTATGAAATGTAATTTTCTCGCTGATAAATCTTTTTATTCTATTATAAAAATATAAAAATCAAAAATGATAAGTCCCACACTAAACAATAAAGTAAAAAATACAGCGCATGTAAAAATGGGGAATTTTGTCTGACATTTTTCTGAGCAACTGAATCAATTTTCATACTTATTTCTTCTGAATACTCTAGAAATACTAAAGAGATTTTTGTTTAGAACATTTTTTTAAGGGAGGAATCAATTGCTTATAAATCATGGTGTTAAATAGTTGAAGTATATAATAAGAAAAAAGTTTTTTATAGATAGGTTTATTTCTAACAGATGCTGGGAAAATGCATTTAAAGTTTTGTATAGATTGCTATCTTAATGCGGAAAAATCATTTTAGCTGACAAACCACCCTACTTAAATCAGTTAAGTTTAGTCTCAGGCAACTATAACAGAAAAGAAACTATTCTTACAAATAATGTATTTTCATTTGAATTTGACTCTGCTTAAGGGCATATTTCCATTGTGATAGTAGTATAATTGTTTGATGCTTTTTTTCTGGCTTTGCATATGTCGCAATAAATTAAGCTAAGTTATATTCTTTTTTAATGACTACTTATTATTTTTAAAGCGTTCATAAAATAATAATTAGAGCACTTATGTCTATTTCGCAATAAATAAGGCTAAGTGATATTCTTTTTTAATGACTACTTATTATTTTTAAAACATTCTTAAAATATTAATTAAAGCACTTTCTATTCTAGCAAAACCAGATGTTATATGGGTGATTAAAGTTATATGTGGCTTAATAGAAAATTTGTCTGATGCTCCCACTAGAACAAAACAAATATTTTCGAAATCCATTTTGCCTTTAATTCCATTTATAGAATCCTTGTTCCATCTTTATCTTCAGCATTCAGGTGAGCCTCGCCTTCTTTCTTATATTAAATGCTATGTGTTATATAATAATACATATTTGTTCATATGTCTGGTATAATGTTTTCATTTTGAAATTTCATGTTTTGATTTGTGTGGCTATGCTTAAGATATTTCCTTTTCATGTTAAATTGAACGTAATATTTAAGTTTAATAACAGAAAATTAAACTATACTTGGTGGATTGCTTTAAATGGTTTTCAACATTTTGATGTTCGACTCTCCAGATAAAATTATTCGTTTTCATTTTAAATTTCTGATAATTGAAATCTTGAATATCTAAATTCGCTTTCTTAGAAAAAAATTTCTTTCAATTTACTATAAGTCACTTTGTTGCTTGTGTCATTTTTTTAATGAAATTATACTTTTCTTTTTCAGACATCACCGAAAACATTTTGGAGTTTTATTTGTGTCTTTTCTCAGTTTTTAGAGTACAAATTGGATTGCCATTTGTTGAAAAAACTATTCAGACCTTATTAACCCTTTTTTCATCGTAAGTATGCGGATTTTACGCAAAGCATTCATGATTGTTTTAAATTCATGTTATATTGAATCACTTGTAAAATTATATTGCAAAAAATTTATTTTATAACACTTATAAGATTCTCATCTAGCTTTGGCTGCCAATCTCAAATTTTATCGTAATTAAATATTTTTATCTAAGAGCTTTTCAACTTGGAAAGGCAATTTACGTATTTCTGGTGCTTAACTGAAGAAATTTAAAACTTAAGAAACCAAACGTATGCAGTTTTTATAAATATCCAATATATAATTCTTATGACCACAAAATTATGCATTTTTAACCAGCACATTAGTGAACTAAAACTTTGATTTTTGAATGTTTATAAAAAGTTTGTATTTTATATAAAACAATAAATCTTAAGTTCTGAAAGCCTCTGAGAATTTTGATTCTGAATTTTCTTCCTACTTTCTCATAGAATATTTTAGAAACCAAATGATGTGTTGCAAGAAAGCCAAAAATTCACATTAAAATTTCATATCTTTATATTTTTCTTACATTTCAAATTTAAATACATATAATCTGCTCTTTGTTTATAATAATTTATTATCTGTACTTAGAAACCAGCTGATGCACTTTACATTGAATGAATCATCATCTGGTTGCAAAGTAATTGAAAAGTAAGTGCTCTTATAACTATTGTTTATTATTTTGAAATATTTATTTATGTCATAAAAATTAGAAGGCAAAGGCAGCATATCAAAACTTTTGGAAATATTCAGAAAAAAGCTTTGTCTGGCAGACGATTGATAAAGGTTTGATATGTCAATAAAATAATATACACAATCATAAAAATACCATAAGATTCACACTTGTCCTGTTATGTTTTGCTTATCCCTCCTTCTAACATGCATATATATATATATATTAGATTTTCAAAATCCTAATCTTTAAAAAGTTCTTAATTAAGCTCTTAAAAAAAATATTTTCTTGAAAAGTTTCTTTAATGATCCTTAATTTTTCTAATGAACTTTCAGAATTTGAAAATTTGCCTTCATATGAAAAAAACTTTAAATTGTATGCTTTTTTTAATTGCATAATTGTGAAAAATTTATGAACATTTATTTAATGCCTATGTATAATTTCTAGACTTCTACAGTTGCTGCAGCAAATTGTACAGGAACCTAATTCTCAATTCAAAGCATTCCTTCCTAGCACAATAAACCTTTGTTTATCCCAAATATATCCATTAATAGCAGAAGTAAGTAAAATCTCCAAAATTTATTATTTTTTATTTGTGTTAATCATTGTGCTTTCTTACACTATTTCTGGGATGTATATTAAAAATTTTAAACCAATGTATTAAAAAATGGTGTGTATTTCTACCTTGAGTTTTATTTGAATTGAGCTCATAATGTATTGCTTTTATTATATCATGTTCCTAGCAACAAAATAACCTGGGCCCTCATTGGACCCAATATTTATGAATCTTGGAAAAATATACTCAATAAGTATAAAAAGAATAAGAATTTAAAGGGCCATTATTCTCTGATATTGGCCATTATTATTCCAGTTCAAAAGATATTTTATAACTAATATCATCAGCCCTATATAGAGTTGTCATATACACCCAATATTTTATAGTCATTATTCAGCCAATATTGGCTGTATATAGGCCCTATATGAGATTGTTGCAAGTGTTATAATTTGTTAAAACTTTGATAGTTAAATTCTTGTTATTCTTGATAGTTTTTTTTTTTCTCTTCTTGTATTTAATATTCTATTTATTTTTCTTGTGCATCCTGTTTTCAAGTAAACTTAATGTTACTGAGAAGACAGTTTCTGTCTTATCTTTCGAAGAATCGACAAATGAAGTGCACCTCCAATACAAATATTTTCATTATTTAGGCTCTTAACCCGTTGATGGTTTTGCACCAAAAAAGTCCTGTAATCTTTTCTGCTTAGCAAAACGTTTTTCCATGTCGTTAGAAAGGGTAATAGTGTATTGGGGAAAAACATTATCCAAATTTTACCCATTTGCTAAGCTGCCAGTGGATTAAATGCTTATTTTCTTAAATTAAAACCAAACTTACAATATTTCTGAAACTTGTTGAGTTAAGCATTCATCAATTACATTTTCCAGAGACCATCATCTGAAGTAAAACCACCACTGTTTGAATTACTTCACAAGATCCTTCTTCATAACTGCCGTTATTTTTTTAAAGTGAATGTTATCAGTAGTCTTGGGGAATCAGGAAATGAAAAAATAGAAAATGAACAGCATTTCACAAAAATAATGGAGGTAAGATTATGCTATTTGTGTTACTATCTTTTACATTCACTTAAATTTTATTGTAATTTTCTAAAACTTATGAGAATATTCTCTGTGTTTTATATTTTCTTATAAAGAATTTCCATCCCATTAGTTTTCAAGGGCTGCAGTGAATTTAGTTTTTATATCCTTAGTGTAAGAAAAACATGAATTTGTCTAATTAAAAAACAAAGAAATTATGTATATTGTACATGTATAATATTTTCAACGTAAAAAAATTTACAAATCATCACCTTTCTTTTTCTAATTGAATTATAGCAGATTTTTATCTTCCTCTGTAAAAAAAATTTTTTTTACTATGTTTTAATTTTAAATTAATATTCTGAACTATTTTTGATTTCAACTTGGTTTTGTCTTTAAAAAAAAAAAATATTTTTAATGTTTCTAAATATTTACTTTTTTTGGCACCTACATTTTTTAATTTTAGTCTTTAAATTTGAGAATTTTTTTCTCATAAAAGCAGTTATAAAATTTCTTACGCTAATCAAGTATATTTTTCCAACTAAGCAGTTTTAATAAAGCTGATTTAAAATTAGTTAGATTACAAAAACTAGTTTATTTAAAATAATTCTACAATATAGCTTTGGTATTAAAAAATTCTTTGATCTGTTAACTGTTTACATTTTAATTATTATTATTTTAGTTTTTATGTTTTTTAATATTTGCTATGATTGTCTGAGTTATAGTTGCAATGTCCTAAAGTTTTTAATAATTAAGTCTTTATTTTGTTTGTTTTATAAAAATGTTTAAAATAAAGTTTCATGTATAATTTTAAACATAAAGATTTCATTTTATTCTTGAAAACTTGTTTTAATAAAATTACTTTACTAATGTTGATTATTTTTTCTTAGGCTTATGGTCAATCATTTTTGCAACCAGATATAAACCTTTTCAAGCAGAATTTAATATCTTTGGAAACCTTAAATAATAAATGGAAGTTATATTACAAGGTAAAATTTGTCTTTCAATTTCAACTTTTTATGTCATTTTTTAAAATAAAATTATTAAATTGAATGAAAGATATATATGATTAATTTTTTTTTTAAACTGATGCTGAAATGCTAATTGTTTTAGACTCATTGTCTCAAATGAACTGGGATTTTTATTTCTTAATTTGTATTTATTCTAAATTTCACAAGGTGAATAAAAAAAGTCATAGAATTCTTATAAGACCCTCATAAGGACTTAAGAGCATGACCATTTCTCTAACTAACCTTTAATTTACTGTATTTACTATGAAACTGTATAAGAGAAAAAAGTTGTTTTAATTCTAAGTCATTAAAATATTAGCACCTTGCATGAGGGCAATTTTTACAACAAATGTATTATAGCTGTTATATTAATTTTAAAAATAATGTTAGGCCAGGTTTCATAAAAGTTAAAGCAAACTTGTCACTGTAATTTCAACTTTAATTTATAATTATGCATTTNACATGTATTATTAAATATATATATATATATAATGACTTTAGTACTGATTACATATATACTGAATCATTTATGTTTGTGGTAATCATGAATGGATGATTTCTTTGAAAAACAGTGAAAACAAAGTGGTTTTGCTACCACTTTTTAAACTTTTGTATGGATTGCAGATAATTTAACAACTTATTTTTACGTGACACACTTGCAATGTTTGAGTACACTATATTTTTGCTACTACTGGCAAAAATATTTACTAAAACTATGGAAAACCACCTTTTGTAAAATTCTTATTAAAACTGCACGAATTACCATAATACCAATTGTTCGTATTATCAAAGTTTATTGAACCACATCTGCATATGGCGATTTCTTATGGCTCCTTTAAACAAATTTACCATTAACGTTTTCTCCATTAACTTAGCATTTTAACACACGGCTTAATTTTCTTATTCTAATGCACATACCAATATTAATTGAAAATTGGTATCAATAATATAGGTGAATATAATAATATCCTCAAGACGAGTAAGTATCTTTTCTCCATAAACTTTGCTTTTTTAGTAGATTGGTTGTTTTTTTATTTCAATTAATATATGTTATCAACATTGTCATCAATAATAGTATGGCAATTTTTTTTTGCGTTTCTTCTAAGCAAATTAGTACCGCTTTTCCATTAATTTTGCCTTTTGAATGCATAACTGATTTATTTTCTAAATTTTAATTACTATTTATTTTAAATTATTTACTTTCTTTTATAGAAACGCATTTTAAAGGAAATTACTATAAACAAAATAAGCATGTGGTATCAGACAACTTAATTTGCTGACATACTCCACGAATATAGCTCATGTTATGTTGTTCATTGAATTGATCTGATATAAATAAAAAATAATTAAATATTTTGTATAATAAACTTTTCTGATGAAATAGAGCTATAAGCTTGAAAATATCACTGATGCTGTCTTTAAAAGTTTTTAGAAAGCTGAATCGCTTGTAGTAAAATTTAAAATGATGACTAACGCTTAACAAATCAGAAAACTCCATTTTGTTTTTCGTTGATCCCGCTCGAATGGTTAGCCGCAAAATGTTCTAATATTGACAGTGACGTTCCTTGTGCTTCCTGCTATCTAATGGCCAAATTTCATCGCTTTTGGTTGGGTGGCTTAGGAGTCAGTAAAGGACACACACGGATATTTTTTTATAGATAGAGAAGAAATATTATTTATCTTTTTACATTCTAAATTTTCATCTCTTAAACTTTCTATATTTATTTTTGTAATTCTCGTTGAAAATATTAAGAACAATTAATATTTAAATATTTTTTATAAATTCCGAAAATAATCTGATCAATTTTCATTTTATTTTAGGGTTACTTTAAAAGTATTATGCTGTTTCAATTCATTAGTGTTTTCTTGCAAACCTTAATCTATAAAACACATAATTTACTGAGGGATGAAATAGTTAGCACAATTTATAGCATGGCACTTGTTGACATCCAATCATTCTACTCCACTTTCTTGCCTCAATTTCTTCAAAGTATGGAAAACTTAGACTCCAATCAAAAGACAACATTGTTGAGGAACTTCAAACATGAAACAGTAAGTAAAAGTTCAATCAGTTTGACATTGTTTAAATATATGATAATATTTGTGTGTTAGAAATGTATGGAAAGTAAAAAGACAACAATTGTTGAAGAACTTCAAACATGAAACAGTAAGTAAAAGTTTTAACCAACTGGAAATTGATTTACACAAACATCAGGTTGTCCACAGTTTCACCTACCTTGGTTCTATAGCTACTTCTTATAATAGCATATTTAAAGATGCTTAATAATAATTGTTAAAGTTGCTTAATTTAATACATATTTAATAAATAATTTTTCTGTATTTTTATTGATTATCTTTTCTTTCAGGATTCTCATACCTTTGGGGAAAATATTCAAAGATTTGTGAGTGACATTAGATACTACTGTCTTTGTTCTGAAACATCAATTTGAAATGTTGTAAATTATATTCTTTGTTGCTCTTTCATTTCATTTGTGATATTTTTTTTCATTGATTGTGATATCATTTTCATTTGCCTTCACCAAGATATGAGGGAAAACTTTATTTTGTAACGATGACAAAGCTTCTAGAAAATGTCCAGTTATAATGTTTTAGAACATGGAAAAAATTCTGTTAAATTTGATACATTTTCATGATATGTGATATTTAATATAATATTTTATAGTACTAAGAAATGTATTAAAATTTTAAAAATAAATCTTCATACGTATTTATTAAATGCATTTATATTGGCAGTAATTTGTTTCACGTTGCTCAAAAGAAACAAAAATATATTTTTTATTTAAATATAAAGCTTCCTTTTTTTTTATTATTATTACAAAAATTAGTTTTTTTTTTTTTTTTTTTTTTTTTTTTTTTTTTTTTTAAAGAACATTTTGAACAATACTACCCAGTAATAATACAATATTTTAGCTCATTTTAAAATGACCTTACACTGTTTATTTAATTCAAGTAAAGTGAAATTCCTTACTTCTATTTGTGTTTTGTTTATTGTATATACTATTAAATTCAAGGAATTTGTACTGATTAAATTAATTAATTAATCAGTAATCAAATCAGTAGTAATATTATACTATTAAAATCAAGGAATTAATAAATTTTATAATTGTACCCCCTTAAGACTTTTTGGATTGTTTTAGGTATTGAATTCTAAGATATGTATGAAACATAAGTCAATGCATTATAGGTTTCACAATTTTGAAATTAGTTATTATATTCTTTTCATGACATTTGACAATTGATTTTGCATAATCCCTCATTTATTTTTACAAATAATTATTAAATTCTATTAAAACTAGTATTTAAGTTAGGCTTCAAGAATATGTTATTTCTATATTAAGGTATTATTCTATCTAGTTTCTAATATTATTATTATTTTTTTTTTTAATTTTGACTGGAATTCTAATAAGATTTCTATTTACATTTAAGTGTATAAGCAATTTTATTCATACAAACAGAATTCTAATCTATTTGAGAGTGTTTTTCAAATCATGAAGTATTTGATTTTAACCTGCCTAATATTCAACAAATGAGTCTTGAAGAAATTATATGTATTAAGAAAATTATGTGGTATTAAGAAAGTATAAGTTTTTTTTTTTTTGTGATATGTTGATTACCTACTGACGTTCCTTCGCTTTTATATATATTTATATAAGTTCAAAATGTAGAGAAAACAGAAAAATTACAGAACAATGTTGTTTTTCTTAATTTTCTCCGTTTTCTCTTTCTTTTTGTATTTTTTTTATTATTATTGTGCTATATATATTTTTTAAGAAAGTCTAGAAATTGGGGGAAATATTAAATATATTTTGCAATTTCATTTTTTCTAAGCATAGTAATTTATCAGAAAATGTTATTAAATTTTGTGTTACTGTCTGTCACTGATACTGTTACTGTCTGTTGACATGTTTTTTTAAATTTCTCAAGAAATATAAGAGGATTGTTTTATAACGTTGGAGATGTGTGGATCAGGCGATTTATCTTAGGTATCGCTCAATTTTAAAGCTTTACAAAGCTCTAAAAGACTGGCAATAAATTACGAATGAAAACAAGTATTTTTGAACACCCTATGCCTGAAAATAAAGCAACAAGCTTATATCTTGCATAGATTTCTTTGGTTGTTATTTTCAATAATTGCATGAAATTTCTAAAACTTCGCTTAAATATTCATGAAGATATGGATATTTTTATAAACTAATTTTTTTCCTATAACTTTAAAAATATTCATCAAAATTTTAAAAAAATTTTAGAGCATTTTTCAAAAAGCACCTAATAAAAAAAAAAATGAGGTGTTTTCACAAGATTTATTTTGTACTATTATAAATGATGTCTGCATTGTGGGGATCATCTCCCATAAAAGTTTGTTTTCTTTCACATTTTTTTTTTTCTCATACCTTCACATTGGATGTTTGGACGATTGTTGTAAATTACTTTCATTTGTTATTATATTTTATTTTATGATAAAAAATTAAATTCAGGGAAAAACCCTTATCATTTAGAGCTTTCTTTCAAAAAGTACAAAAACTACTTAGAAATTTTCCAGAAATATTTTTATTTTATTTCGTTTGTTATTTTTTGCCGGCCTCTTCAGGCTCTGAAAGCTTTAAAATTTGTTGTTAAGTATGAAAAATCGCATGATCTAAAGTTATAAATAAATAAAAAAAAAAATTTTAATTATTTTAGAAACATTTATTTTAAAAAATTTTCGAAAACTGAAAGTATCTCTTTTATTCCCAGTTTCCAATTATTTTTTTTTTTTTTTCAAATATTTAAATATATGGTTTAAAAAGAAAACTGTTATGTTCATTGTATATACAACATGTTCTTTGTTATTAATGCATTTTCAATTATTTATTTTGAAATAGTATTACTCAAACATTTCAACTCTTAGTGGAATTATTCAGTTATTCATGTTAAGTTTTTCTTTTGAATTGCATGATACGATTAGTAAATTCTTTGTAATGAAAGCAGAGCTTAAAAGATTATTATCTAAGGGTGCCAATTCAAACACTACATTTGTAATAGTATTGAATTGTAATGTTGTATGTTTAGGGACCAACCAGCATTTTCAAAGTTCCTTTCATGTATTTATTTTGCTGTATATAGTGTAAATATTATTGTATGTTGTACAGTTTTCTTTTTTACAAATTTAAATAAATAATTTTGTACTAAACTTGCTGCTTGATTTCCTTAAGGTTACGAATTTTTAAAAAAAAAAAAGATTTATGTTTTTGAAATAGATTAATTTGTAAGTAATTTTGAATTTAAAAATATACTTTAAAATTTGCTTGTTTTAAAGGTATTTAAACTTCATTTTCTTATATACAATTAGGGATGCATAAAGCATAAATATCTTTCATTAAAAAACTTGTCTCATATATTGAAATAAGCTTTAGGATATAATTATACAGGATTTTTGTTTTTTGAATTTATTTGCTATTAAGTATTAGACTTTTTTGCTAATTTTTTTCTTATTGAAATTTAAACTAAAAAATCTATTTTGAATTTCAAAGTTTACAGATCCTAAAATTCAAAAGAGTATAGAAATTGAATGAGTTCCAGTATACTTAAATTTCTAAAAAATAATTTCAGTTTTTACATTTATGTTAAAGTAATTATTACAAAGTTAACTCGATTTAAAATGTAATCTTAAATTCCAGCTACATAATTATATTAAAAGACCATTTTATACATTACTCAAAGGTATACCATTAAATTTTACTTTTAAAATTTATTTGCAGATAGCGCTAAATATTTTGTTTTTATTTATATAAAAAAATCTTCCAAGTATGACTTTATTCACATTTATTGTTAGTCTGTTTATTTGTACTATAATACTCATATATATGATAATCCTAAAATCATAAGACAAACTTGAAGAGAAGGTAGGGCAAATCATAACCATTAAGAATGGCATCATACAGCTTTAATAGTGCTTCCCTATTATAAACTGTTTCTATGTGTCCTTTAAACAGGCACTTTTATTTATCTAAAATATCTTAATTTTATATTTTCTAATAATTATTGACAAAAAAAGTGTATTTAAATAGGTTCAGTAGTAGAATTTTTTAATTCTAATTTAACGATTTGGTTACTAACTTGACAAATCATTAAATTACAGCTCTGTGTCTATTTGAATGTAATTCTCAACAATATTTATTAGAAAACATAAGAATTTAGATAAATTAGTAACTAACTATGTTCGATGGCACGTGTAAGAAACAGCTTATAATAGGGAAACCCCCTAGCTACTTACAATGGCTGCCATGGGTTCCTTTGCGATTCTTAATCCTTATGATGTGCCCTATCTCCTCTCTAAGCTCGTCCTGTGATGATCCCTATTCGGATACTTATTTTATATCACTTTAAGCATTTCACATATATTTAAGAATTTAATAAAATTAAAGACAAATTTATACCTTGCAAATTTTTTTTGTAAAAAAGGGCAATTTTTCCAACTTAATTATACAAAAATTGCATTAGGATAGTTCATAATTCCCTGTTTGGTTTATGAAAGCTATAATTATAGGGGGGAAAGCTGTTTTAAAGATGAAATGAAACCTTCACTTAGCACAAAAATCTCTTCTTTTTTTTCGCACATCTTACTGATATTTTTATGTATGAACTCAAATCCAGTTTTAAATCTAACTTGTCAGTGCTTTTCTAACTCTTATTGTCATAAACTTTTGTACCTCATTATAATTTAGGACAATTCATGTGTCTCACTGATGGCTTTTATTAGGTTGTGTGCTGCTATGTACTGAACTGTAGCTTATGTTGTTAAAAACCTCATTTCCAAATTAATGTCTACTCTATGATTGACAACATAAATTGTAATTGTCAGGTCACAACTTAAAACAGTATTTTTTTTTAGCATGAAGATTTGAAATGCTGATGAAACATTTAGTTTTTCTGGCTGTAAAATATATTAATATTATTTCTTCATATACGTTATTGGTCAGAGTTTATAAAATTTTTAAAATGTCGTTAAAATCATTGATATAAGTTTAAAGTTGATAGATAATTTACCTTATAATCAAATTGAGACTTTTTGAGCACTTTATATTAAGCACTAGAGATCGTAATATTATTGTGGCTATCTGTGCTCTAAGGTTGATGACCAAGCTATCAACCTGACCATGTGAAGAAAACTAACATGCTATTTTAAACTTTTCTGTGTCAGTATAGGCATATCATTGATTTGAACATAAAAATTTGATTATTTGTCTCTTTAATTAAATTTGCACCTGATAACTTGCAATTTTAAACCTTTCTTTGTTAGCATATGCTTTGATTTGAACTTACACATTGAATTTTTTTGTCTGCATTGAACAAGTCTGCACCTGAAAATGAGAATCATTACTTGACCTTTTATCTGGTGCAACAAATGTACCAGAAAACATGCTTTAAAATCTGCTATGTGAAAAAAAATTAACAAGTTATTTCAAACTTTTCTTAGCATATTATTGACTTGAACTTGATTGAATTTCTTATCTGCATTAAACAAATTTGCACCTGAAAATGAGAATCATTACTTAATCAGTCTATGCATAGTTTTGATTTGAACTAAATGAATTCTTTTGAAAGTGTATTTATTGAAACTGCAATAATACAACTAACTGTTATAATATTTTATACAACAAATATTTTTTTTATGCATATCGCAGTGCTAGTTAATTGCTTTACATGAAATAGAAA